CAACAAAAGTTTCACCAACAAAAGTGCCTGTGTGACAGCGCTATGTCAGCAGGACGCTCTCCTGCCAACATAGCTACTGCCACTCATTGGGGGTGGTTTAATTATGCCGGTGGGAGAGCTCTTTCCTCCTGGCATAGAGGGGCTACACAGGAGACCTTACAGTGGCACAGCTGTGCTGCTGCAAGGTCCATAGTGTAGACATAGCTTTACTAAAGTCAAGATATACTACATCTACCGCTTCTCCGCTATCCACAAGGCTTGTTACCCTGTCAAAGAAAGTACTAGGTTGTTTTGACATGATTTGTTCTTGACAAATCCATGCCATTACTTATCACCTTATTATCTTCTAGGTGTTTGCAAATTGATTGCTTAATTATTTGTTCCATTATCTTGCCAGGTACTGAAGTTAAGCTGATTGGTCTGTAATTCCCTGGGTTGTCCTTTTCTGCCTTTTTATAGATTGGCACTATATTTGCCCTTTTCCAGTCCTCTGGACTCTTACCTGTCTTCCATGACTTTTCAAAGATATCTCCTCAGTCAGCTCCTTGAGTATTCTAGGATGTATTTCATCAGGCCCTGGTGACTTTAAGACATCTAACTTGTCTAACTAATGTTTAACTTGTTCTTTCCCTATTTTAGCCTCTGATCCTACCTCATTTTCACTGGCATTTTAGTTAGATGTCCAATTGCTGCTAAACTTTTTGGTGAAAACTGAAACAAAAAAGTCATTTAGCACTTCTGCCATTTCCACATTTTCTGTTATTGTTTTCCCCTCCTCATTAAGTAACAGGTCTACCCTGTCCTTGGTCTTCCTCTTGCTTCTAATGTATTTGTAGAATGTTTTCTTCTTATCCTTCATGTCTCTAGCTAGTTTAATCTCATTTTGTGCCTTGGCCTTTCTAATTTTGTCCCTACATACTCGTCTTATTTGTTTATATTCATCCTTTGTAATTTGAACTAGTTTCCACTTTTTGTAGGACTCTTTTTTGAGTTTCGGATCATTGACGATCTCCTGGTTAAGTCAGGGTGGTTTCTTGCCATACTTCCTGTCTTTCCTACGCAGTGGGATAGTTTGCTCTTTCTTGTGCCCTTAATAATATCTCTTTGAAAGACTGTGAACTCTCTTGACGTGTTTTTCCCCATAGACTAGCTTCCCAAGGGATCTTACCTACCAACTCGTTCAGTTTGCTTAAGTCTGCCTTCTTGAAATCCATTATCTTTATTGTGCTGTTTTCCCTCCTACCATTCCTTAGAATCATGAATACTACCATTTCATGATCACTTTCACCCAAGCTGCCTTCAACTTTCAAAATCTCAACCAGTTCCTCCTTATTTGTCAAAATCAAGCAGCCTCTCTTCTAGTAGCTTTCTCCACCTTCTGAAATAAAAAATTGTCTCCAATACATTCCAATAACTTGTTGGATAATCTGTGCCCTGCTGTCTTATTTTCCCAACAGATGTCTGGGTAGTTGAAGTCCCCCATCACCATCAAGTCCTGTTGATTTTGTTAGTTGTTTATAAAAAGCCTCATCCACCTCCTCTTCCTGGTTAGGTGATCTGTAGTAGATCCCAACCATGACATCACCCTTGTATTTTACCCCTTTTATCCTTACCCAGAGACTTTCAACAAGTCTGTCTCCTATTTCCATCTCACATGTATAGATTTTTGATATACTGGGCAACACCTCCTCCCTTTTTTCCCTGCCTGTCCTTCCTGAGCAAGCTGTATCCTTCTATACCAATATTCCAATCAAGTCAGTAATATGGGGGGTTATAATTTATTTGGAAAATGTGCATTTAACTGCATAAAGATAGTACAGTTCCTCTTTGGAGCCATTCAATTCTATTGGGTCTAACAGAATATGAATTTTATTACCTTCTTAAAAAACTCTTTTTCCTTCCCTGCATACTGTATCTGATGGAAGGTTGGAGACTTCAGTAGGAGAATGCTAAATTTGACTTCAGCTGCACAAACATACAGCTAGACAAATCAACATGGCTCGTTGTAAATCGTATATATGTGGGAGGGTTTTTTTGTTTTTTTAAACTAGACACATCAGTAACCATCCCCACCCAGACAGATGAAGTCTCTCAGAAAATTAAAACAATGGGATCCCTGAATGAGGGGGATAGCTCTTTCTGCTCATTACCTGGCAGTATTATACCTCCTTCCCTATACCACCTCTCCCCATGCCGTCCTCCATAGGATAGGATCCCTGGGCAAGGGTATCTTGCTCACCCACTCCCTACCCAGAGAGGGGGTGCTCTTTAGTGGTCACTTCAAGAGTCTGTGTGAAGAATAGTCACAGGAATCTGCAGGGGGCTAGATGCCGAAGTAAGAAGGGTCTAGAGAATAACAGTAATTTGTGTTAGCAGTAACTTTCCAATCTTAACTGTTTCCTTACAATAGGATACACATAGGGAGTTCTTCACCCCTTTTCCCTATAACTATGCCTCCTTTTTCTTTCTCACCCTGGTATCTGCACAGCACATGCCCAAACTCCACCATACATTCTATACCCCCGTCCTTTTCACCCTCTCATGCTGAAGGGAAAGACAGGAGAAACATAAACAGTCGCAGGATGCGAGAGGGTATGCCTCCGGGTCGGCAGTACTGAAATGAACGTGTGCATGCAAACACATCTATTCAGATCCAACTGGTATATTTGAATGCATGTGTTCATTTCAAGACACCGTGTGCATTCAAAGCCTCATGAATAAACTAATAACAAAGGAATTCAATTGACTCAAACCCATGGTATTTATTAACTTTTCTTTTTTGTTTGTTTGTTTGTAAGATTCAACCAGCTCTAGGTTAGCCAAAGTGCATACTGCATATAAGTATAGAAATATACATGCACAACAGCGGTGAACTCAAGAAGACTAAAGCACATTATGTACTGCTTCCTCTCATCTCCCAACCCATCCCCAACATGACTCACCAGTTGCCTCAGAGCTGATCTGTACATATCCAGGGACTCATTACTAAGACTAGAACTGGGCATGGAAAAAATCTGCTCTCTTGAGCTTTATTTATAAATATACATGGGATGTGGATAATAAAAAAGTGTAAGTGCGGGAGAGAAACTATGAATGTCAAATTCTTTTTCTTCTGCTTCTTTTAAAATTTATCTGGATTTAGTGTTTGCGACAGCTGCTAGAGTGAGAGGTGTAACGACTGAAGTCCTTCATTTATCAGTAAAACAGGTATTACACTGTTTGAGTTTCCCTATCACATAAACCTGAACTGGAAGTATCACCACTAGGGAAGGGAAATTAGCTCAATTTCCATTTCCTCTCCACTGAGACCATCAACCAGGATTTCCCATTGTCACAATGACTTTTGTTAAGAGGACACCCGGATTCTATGAACTAAAATGAGAGGCCATCAACCCATTTCACAGCAAACAGCTATAAGTCACTACTGATCTGGGTTGGATTTGTATCAGTGACCCAGAAGAGAAATATTCCTTATTAGAGCTGAGCAAATAATTGATTTTTTAGGTAAAGGGCCAAACAAAAAAAAAAAAAAAAAATCTGAAAAAAAAAAATGTGGTTTGTTTAGAACTGAAACTGAATATTTTCCCCTCACCAAAACAAAAATAGATACAATTTCAAAACAAAATGTTGAGTCAAAACAACATTTTGAAACAAAATGGTTCATTTAGAAAATGTCAGCACGAACCATTTTCACTTAAAAAAAAAAAAAAATTCCCCTCCTTTCTTTATTCGGCCAAAACTGTTCACCAAATCCTACCTGAAATGACAAATAGTTTTGATAACCCTGAAATGGCATTTTTCGGCAAATTTACTATGTGCCCAAAAAATTGTACCCTTCTCCTGTCCTGTTATCTTTATATCTACGTAACACTGCAAATCTTATAGTAGAAAGATAACAGTTTAGGAAAGTACATGTAAACTTGGGTAAATTACAGTTTGCATTTAAACTTGCATGTTCTTTGCTATTTCTTACATGCTTAGTGTTCCCCGCTAGTCCATGTTTCTTCAGAGTGAAGGTATTAGAAGAATACCCTAGGCCCTGATTACCCTTGAAAAACTAGGCACTTCTTTCTTGACCCATGAATTCCAGAAGTGGGATTATTTTGCAAGCTGAGGAAGTAAGTCAGACTGAACTGATTTAACGTACACTTTCTTATTCCTGTATTACATAAACTGAACCTGGTTTTCAGATTACATTTTTAGAACTAAGATACTTATTAAAGAGCCTATTATCCTGACTGGCTTTTCCTGAAAGATTTTCAAAAGCACTCAGCATTGGCCAAACTCTGCTCCCACTGAAGTCAATGGTAAAACTCCCTTTGACATCAGTGGGAGCACAATATGGCCAACACTAAGTGCTTTTGGAAATCCCACCTTAAAGTTACACATTCAATATACTGCAATTAAACTTCATTAACATTGGTTTGTGGGAGGCTAGGAATGGCAAGAAATCTAATCCTTGGATTACATGCTCATACATGTAAATTACTCACTTTTTTGCCCATAATCATTTTTGCAATTGGAGTAATGGATTTATGGAATGTATCTGTGAATGTTGGTTCATCAGTTTTAAATTAATGTAGGAAAACTGAATAAAAAAATAACCTTGAATGTGCTATCAGTGGTTTTAAGAAATATATCTAAGATTTTCATATAAAATATTTCATACCTCAGATCTATCTCAGACACGAAACACAATGAACACACACAAGGATATAAGAGACACTTAATCTTTCACATCTACATTTCTCAGTTTTCTTGGGACTCATTCAGATTGCTCCTGCTCTCTAACACATTTGCAACAAAAAGCCAAGGGTAGAGAAGCAGGTTTGAATTTACCACTATCACATTGTGTTATTTAATTTTTAATGAGAAAATATTTGGCTGCAAGATTTGGCGTTTTCCATGTCATCTCTGGAAATGGCAAATACAGTATAGACAACAGGCATTTGGCAAGTCATAGAATTCCACATGTGCTTGAAATCAAAGCAAGGGCATACCTGAGAAAGTGATTGTCTGAGGCGTGTTATTTGTGAATTGTGGCCTGCAATGTCCTGTTCTGAAACCATCTGCTTAAGCTTCTCCTTCTCAATAGCTATGCTGTTAAAGGCAGACTTCAAAAGAGAATGAACTGGGGGAAAGAAAAAACAAATATTTCCTGAGACACAGTACTACACCTTGCTTGTAATCAATAATAAAGGTTGTGACACCTCCCCTCCCACCCCAAATTTACAGAAATAAGAAACTAGGGCCCAAATTTTCAAGAGTTGGTGCCCAAGTAGATTGCACACATGCATCAGCTGAGATTGGCACGCACACACAATGTGAGTGTGCACATATACTTGTCTTACGTGCACATATTGGTGGTTGTGCATATGCAAGTTGGGTATGTGTAAAAGTGCGCATGTTCTTTTGAATATTTGGGCCTAAAGCTATTTTTTTCCCCTTTTGTAAAGCAAATCACCCTGTTCCTTAATTTTTCTCTTCAAACAGTGTAGTATATATGTCAGTTCTGCATTTATGTTCTGCAATGATTTAATACTGCATTAATAAAGAGGATTACTTTGATCTTGAAACAGAACCTTTGATGATCTAACACTGTGGAGGGAAGCAGTGGGTAGTATGTTTTTCCCATTTTATGTATTAGCCAACATTACAGTACACAGAGCCCATACAACGTAAGTTGTGTAAGACTGTTTGCAGCTCATGTGTCACTGCTGCATAAACATCACCGCATGGTGTTACATTGTGATTATTTCAAATCCAATTATTTAAAGCCTTCCTTCAAAACAAACAAACCAACAAAAAGAAACCCATCACTAGGAAAAATAAACACTTCTGATCATTGCTAAATGTGGTTTAGCTGTGCATTCCTTGCTATTAGAAACACCCTGGTGTTTTCCAAAAAACCCTTTAAAATAAAACAATTTCTTTTTCATTAAGTATATGCAACATTTGAAATAATCAGCCCATGTGCTCAGAAATGGAACATTAACGTATGGGAAACTTTTCTGAATAACAGTTTGACAATTTCAACAAAGAAAAGCACAGGGTGAAGGAACATAAACTTTGACCTTTTCCATACCTAAAACGTATGCCGCTATGTTTTTTTCTTTAAAATGCTGTTTCTTTTTTAGAATTATGAAACATTAAGGAATAAAAACCTTTTTTCAAGAAAATTCTGCCTCTCATCCCTTACCTCTCCCCAATTTTTATAGGGTTTTTTAATTATTGCCCCCTAGATTTGCAGTATAGAATCAAAAAATACAAAGTGACTACTGAAACCTTACTAATTAGACATGAATCACTGAAATGATCACTGCTTCCTATTCAAATTCTTGAAGACAGAATAAAATGCAATGCTAACTGCTCCTGTGTGAGCTTAAAAAGCTCCCTTTCCTTCTCTCCATGAAAGTGTTTCCCTTCATTAAACACCTGTACCTCTCCATATTTCTGTAAGTATAGACATTATTATCTCTCTTTAAAATAAATCTTATAGATTTCTAAATGTTTATTCCCATTCAGACAGAAAGCTCTTGATCTTAAATCTTAGCTGTTCATCTCAAATTTTTATGATAAGTCTGAAAAATGTGACCCAAAATGTGGGTGTTACATATGGAAGGCCAAATTCTCTGCCTCATAAATAGAGACAATTCCACTGAATTCAATATTCTCACTTATGTCAACAATAAATTTAATCTGGTATTTATAAATACACTTATTTCATGATCAAATTAAACACAAGTCATTGCATATTAAAACAGAATTGCCTAAAAATGCATGTATTCTCAGTTCAAAATGTACATTTTATATCAGATGCATCAAGTTAATCAATTATGGTCCTTGGTGTGAAAGTACAAAGTTCAGTTGCTTGGGACACATTTTTTGTGTAAAATGAGTTCAACCTATTTCAAGTCTCAAGTCTCCCTCCCTTTCCCTGCACTCCCCCCCCCCCCCCAATGCATTTCAAACATACTCTTCTTTTAGGGGAATAATTCACACACACCTTTGCCTATTGCTGGTCCCATGAGCTTGCCAACACGATAAACCAGCCATCCCCAGACTTAATGATTTATCTAGTAAAATGTTTTCAGTTATGTTGGGGCCCAATCCAATTCCTATTGAAGTCAATGGGAATCTCTGCATTGATCTCAATGGATGCTGGATCAGGCCTTTAATTTAATTGCTTGTGTGACCCTAAGAACTCCCCCAATGCCAACTGGACTTCTCACTGATTCTCATAAGAATATCCTGATCCTGGTAGGTACATTCTGGTTTACCAAAGAATATCATAGAATCACAGAAATTTAGGACTGGAAGGGACCTTGATAGGTCATCTAGTCCAGTCCCCGGCACTGAGGCAGGACCAGGTATTATATAAATCATTCCTGACAGGTGTTCCGCATTGGAGATTTCTAAGAACAGGTTAGATGGAGATTCCACAACCTCCCTATGTAATTTGTTCTAGGGCTTAGCAACACTTACACTTAGGAAGTTTTTCCTAAGGTCTAACATAAATCTCCCTTGCTGTAATTTAAGCCCATTACTTCTCTTCCTGCCCTCAGTAGTTAAGGAGAACAATTTATTACTGTGGCAAGGTGGACTAGGTCTGGAGGCCCCCTGCTGGAGGCCTTGATGCCATGCATCATCCTGTCCCAGAATAGAGCAGTGAGAAGTCCTCCAGGTAGCCTAGAGTGGCTGCAGAAGAACGCCCAATCAGAGGGGCTGCTGGAGCAACAAATAAGGGTCCAGAAGAGCCAGATAAAAGGCAAGCAGCAGAGCAGTGCCTTCAGTTGCTGTGTAGAGCTTGAAGAGTGAAGACTGGGTGACTGACTAGCTGGCTGGCTGGAAGAGCAGCAGTACTGCAGACAGGACTGAAGCCCAGGGAAGGTTGCTGAAGACTGGGTGCCTGGCTGGCGGGAAGAGCAGCAGGACCAGCAGGTCAGTATGTGCAGGCTGAAGCCCAGTGGGACTGAGCACAGAACCTGTGCAGGCCAGCAAGGGTACCGAGATGGGCTCCGCTGGTCTGGTTGAAGACTGAGCCCAGGGAGGCCTGCTGGAACACCACCAGCTGTAGGTACTGAGATGGGCCCTGGCTGGGTGGTTGAAGAAGGCAGTGCCTCTGGGAGAAGCCTTAGAGCTACGGCCTCACACCAGGGTCAAGATAAGAACTTGGACTGTATACCCCGGAAAGGGGGACAGCATATGCGGTTCAGCTGCAGGGCTCAGTCACTGAAGACTCTCCAAGAGAACCATCAGCTGGGGGAGGGGGATACTCACGAGAGGCGGGTGCCACCCCAGTGTAAGAACTAAAACCAAAAGCAGGCTCACATCCAACCAACGGGGGGCTGCCTGTGAGGGGTGGGTGCCGCCCCATGAAAAAGACTAATTGCAGGCATATCAGCCAAAGAAAGGGGGTGCTCACAAGAGGCATGTGCCGACCCGGTCACAATTACCCTCCTTTTTATAACAACTTTTTACATACTTGATGACTGCTATCATGTCCCCCTCCCCTCAGTCTTCTCTTCTCCAGACGAAACAAACCCAATTTTTTTTCAATCTTCCCTCATAGGTCGTGTTTTCTAAACCGTTAATTTTTTTTTGGTTCCTTCTGGACTTTTGCCAATTTGTCCACATCTTTCCCAAAGTGTGGTGCACAGAACTGGCCACAGAACTCCAGCTGAGGCCTGATCAGTGCTGAAGAATTACTTCTCATGTCTTGCTTAGAACACTCCTGCTAATACATCCCAGAATGATATTTGCTTTATTTGCAACGGTATTACATTGTTGACTTATATTTAGTTTGTGATCCTCTATAACCCCCACTACTCCTTTCTCTGCAGTCATTTCCCATTTTGTATTTGTGCAATTGTTTATTCCTTAAGTGTAGTACGTTGCATTTGTCCTTATTGAATTTTATCTTCTTTAGTTCAGACCATTTCTCCAGTTTGCCAAGTTCATTTTAAGATCATGTGAGATCTCAAGTGAAAGCCAGGGTCACGCTGGTCAGTAATATCATTGTGAAATGTATGTACACATACACATTTACTGAAAACATGCTCCTAAGGTCTGTATCAAGGCAGAGTTGGCAAACAGGTTTTCTGTCAGACAAAAGATGGTTATTCACCTGTCTCTCTGGCATGTAAATTAAGCATTGTAAGTTAACACAATGGAGAGTCATTTACAAAGGAAATCAATGCATTATGGAAGGATGTGTGTGAAATTAACTGGGAGGCAGCACACACAAGAATAAGCTACTTGGGTCATCCTGACTCTGAGGTACAGACAATGAACTTCTGGAGATATAAGGAGAAGGTAAGGGTGACATCCCTTGAGCCTGCACCTAGGAAATAACTGGGCAATGCGATTAAATTCATGAAAATGGGATCACAACATACCCTGGTTGGAAACACGGCAAAGGATATTTGGGTGAGATAAACTTCTATAGACAGGTTAGTCTGTTAAGTTTAGTCTCTAGAAATTGTGTTATGATTTTGATTTATATGTAATCTTTGTTTTCATAATCCTTACTCATTATCTCTTGAATCTCAAATCTTTGATAATAAATTTGTTATCTTCACTATAAATATATCTGAGTTCTTTGGCATTACACAAGGAGCTGATCCTGAGTTTAATCATACAAGCTGGTGTGTGCACTGTTCCTTTGTGGACAGCGGATCTGGTATTACTGAGTGTACACAGTAGATAAGGGGCTGGCCAGTACAGGGGGATGGTCCCAGGGGACTGAGGGACCAAGATGTACCTATTGTTAACCTGCAAATCAAACACAGGAGTGGCAGAGTCCAGAGGAGATTGTTTGTTTGGGTGGCTAACAGGCTAGTGGTGTCAGTGAGCTAACACCAAATTAAACTCAAGCAAGTCTTCCTCTTGCTGGAGGCAGTGGGTAACAAAGTGACTCACAAACCACCACAGAAAGGAGTCCAGGAGAGCTGGCTGTATTTTAAAGAAGCCTTACTGAGGGCGCAGGAACAAGCCATCCCGATGTGCAGAAAGAACAGCAAATATGGCAGGTGACCATCTTGGCTTAACAGAGAAATCTTCGGTGAGCTTAAACACAAAAAGGAAGCTTAGAAGAAGTGGAAACTTGGACAGATGACAAGGCAGGAGTAT